CAAAAATAACTGATCATATATATATATCTAGTGTTTTTCTCTAATCTAGGCACACACATTACAAGAAAAAGGCTGAAAAAACATGTTAGTCAATAACGTTTTTTCGAGTCTTTTTAAAAACAAACTTAGATAAGCTCGTGAAAGGTACCCTGAGTGGATTTATATATGATTTTTAGACGGTTAGGAGAAAAGAATTTATATTAAGTTTTGACATCAGCAGCTAGCATTGAGTCATGTGCGATTTTTAATCGCAAAACTAAAAAGGTTCACTTGTGAAAAGTTGGAGAAAAATGTCTTTTTGCCTGTGAATTTACTAAAAACACAGAAAATTAAAAAGGTAGGAAAAGTAGGAGAAAATCCAGAAAGGAGGACATAGTAGGACGTTTTATAGAAAAGTAGGACGTTTACGAAGGATGATTACATCCAATGCATAAAACTGTTTTGCAGTATAAGTAGTGTGTATACAAAACAGAGCTGATCATCTGCATAATTTTTCACCCCTCCGCGGTCAAAATAAAATATACCCGCATTGCAGTTTGCAGGTTAGAAAAAAAATCTTTTGTTCTCTACACGGAGAGATTGAGGGTGAAAACTTCTGCACTACCCTGTCCTGTAGGTCGACTGCAGGTGGACCCTAAGGCGAGGTATAACAATTTTTTTCCTACTGACCACTATCCGTCTGTATTACACACTGATAATTATAGACTGTATCACCAGTTATGATTCACTATTCTTGTTCTATATTTTTCTCTTACTATTATCGTTATAGTCTTTTGTCATCTTCTATATACTATACGTAGTACGCATAGTAAAAGAAACATATTATATACAATAGGTATCTAGCAAATATGGAGATTATTTTCTCGCACATGTAGTATATTCGTAAATGAATGTGCTAAATGTTTGTTACTTTCTATTCTGGTCCTCGGTTTCACTGTGTGAAGAACGTGAAAAAATCACTTCAGGATTGTTTTCATGCAACGTTTCATTCTTGCAACGCTTTTTTAAACAATGCACCAAAAAAGTTGGAAAGTCAAGTTATAAATGTGACTCTGCTTGATTCTTTTCCTGTTTATATGGATCTGAGACTTCGAGTTACGTTTCTCACTTGCCAATCAGGTTGAAATAGTGACTTTTCTCTGACAGGAAATTTGATGAAAACACAAGTTAAAGTCATTTAGATCTAGGTTCCATCGTCTCCGTTTATCACTACAGTCACTTTAATCTATTTTAGCAAAGATACGATGCTGTAGTGCAGAACAGAGATGTGACACAAAGGAAAAGAAAGATATACTTAGATACGACAGATAGATATGGATGTGCTTAGGATACGAAAAGGCACATCTTTCTTTTCCTTTCTGTCATATCGTCGAGATATCTTTCTTTCGTTTGTCGTAGAGTGGTTGCTTTAAATTACAACAAAAATACTCGATGAGCGTAGTATTTTCTTCATCCGAATCTTATTCTTGAACTTTTTTCAAAATTTTCTTATCCTAAATAGATACGATATTTAATAAGAACAGAACGAACTTCACATCTACATCACGCAGACTTTATTAATAAAGTGTTTTCTCCGGCACTATAAAAGATTTACGGGACCAAAATCTTTTTTTTAGCGGGATCGGAACTGAAAAAAATTTGTGACCGGGACAGAATCAGAACAACTTTACGGGACCGGGACTGAAAAACCTTGGTCCTGCCCGTGTCTCTTGTGCGTCTATTATTTCTTCTCTTTTCATGTGTCAAATGTGTGGCTAATAATGTGTGGCTAATAATGTGTGGCTAACAAATGTGTAGTTAACATCAGCATTTTTGACACGTAGCATGACGACATCATCGAATATCTTTGTAGCTACTTTTTGCCAATAGAAATCCTCTTGTGCAAATGAGTTATCTTAATTTTAAAATTTCATCCACCGAATTTCAACGGAGTTTACCTATTCTGAAGTGCATTTGTGTCACTATAACAGACGCACTTCTCGCACAGTTCACATACTACCAGGACCGCAAATAGGAGCCGAACCAGTGTTTCTAACATTACGCGTACGCCTTTGTTCCAAAGCGTACGGTATGCGAACTAAATTGAAAATACGCTTTGTATCAACCAATAGGAAAACACAGAACGATAAAATCCACGAATTACCACGCTTATGTGCGCGCTGCTCAAAATTCTCATTAGAAACCCTGAGCCGAACATTAGGGGGTTATAAACCAAAATTTCTCCGAGGTAGTGTGAAATTGACAAAAAAACATTTGTGCGAGGAGTAATGGATAATGATCAGAGGACTGATGGCATGGATTGCGTCACTTTCTTGGTTTTGTTTTCCAATGCACTTTCCTTCACTATGATTGGCCACTGCAAGAAAAACCAGACCAATGGACGTAACAGGATAAAACTATTAATTTTAGAACTGAATTCAATACATAGAAAATTTCACCAATGGAAATCTGGATTCCTTACAGTAGATAGATGCCGCAATAGTAAACATATGGTGTCAGGGATGATGCAAACGGCTGAATGAAAACAGATCAAGGGCAATGCACTTTCAAGACAAATTGAAAGGAATCCAAATTGGACCTTTTCCTTCAAAATTTATTTTGTTTTTGTATTTTTGACACTTGAATCTTCTACCCCACTGGCCGATCCTTGCTTTTTCTAATGCATTGCTGTATAACCCTTGCAAAATCCGTATTTTACTATCTTGTGCAGGCCACTGGCAATAAAATAACAACAGCTTTTTCAATTATTCGCGGGATGCACACCCTTCTGTTATTTGCGCCTCTGCATACTACAAGAAGTGTTTTACTTGTTCAAACGTCTGCGATATGACTCCAATGTGACTGTCATGTGTCTACTGTACACACATGCTGCAGATCTATGGAAGACATCCGTTATGTCGAAGACGCAATCACATAACAGACACCTTTTTCCGGCAGACTTATGACAGAAGTGACATTTATTTTAGAGTGCATTGCTCACCTAATATAGGACTTATCAATAGAAAATCATCATGCGCAAAAGAACATAAAAGGAAAGAAAATGATTACTCGTGCGTTGTGCAATATTTATATATGTATACACACTACTTGACTGACTCAGTGTTTTAGTTCTTTTCCATAATTTATTTGATATTAATAGTAGAAACCAACTTTTATCAGTAATACGAGTAGTCAAGAGAGAGAAATAATAGTAATTTAACAAGTGTGTGTAAGTAAAATGTACAATTAGTACTCATATACTGGTCTACTTTTTGTTTCAACCCATATTAATTTCTTTCAGTTATTGGTTGACTCGTTAAGCAATGAGTCTGACATTTAAACCACAAAATGCCAAGGCTGCTGCAACAAAACGAATCATGAGGTTGTACAGATAAATTTATAAATATATACTGAATTTTGATAATAAAATTTCTATTTTTATATAATTTAGAGATCTGGCTGAATTAGACAAAGTTCCTATTGCAGGACTTGCTGTTGATTGTCCAGATGAAACTAATCCATTTATTTTACATTGTAACGTACGTGCCTGAAAATAAAGATTATATTTCTGCAAATGACAATGTTTTGTTCGATTGTTTACAGGTATTGATCAATGACGGACCCTATCGTGGCATTATGATTCATCTAATACTTCGTATTTCAGAAGATTATCCATTGACGGGACCTGCAGGGAATATAGCACCGGGTTTAGAGTTTGATCAGAGCTATCATGCTCACATTCATAATGATGGAATGTATGAACATAAAGCTAAAAAGATGTTCTCGAATATAATTTTTATTTTCATTGTTATTTAAGAAATGGACATGCACTGTGTAATGATTTATTGACAAATTATGCTGAACACTTTCGAATGGTCGATCATAATGGTGCTAAGCAGGCTAGTGGATGGAGGTAATGTTAACGTCTTAAATTTTGTTTGCTAATATTCTATTTTATTTTTTTCTAGTCCAGGTTATACATTATCAACAGCACTTCTCCAAATTGTTACATTTTTTGCAGATCATGATATGATGCGTGATCCATCTGTCGAGCAAATTACGCGTTTACAGAATATGGTTAAAAAATTTAAATGTACAACATGTGATCACACGTATGATAAACCAAATCCTGTGATAGTCGATTATAATGATGCAACAGTTATTGAACCAAAAGAAACGATAATATCAATTGAAGAACAAGAACGATTAAAAAAAGAGCGTGAACATTTACAATTTGAACGTGAATTATTAGAAAAATTGACATGTGGTATAACAAAACAAAATATTAAAGACGATAATATTTGTTTGGGTTATCCGTTATTAATAAAACGCGATAGCTACGGACGTTTATGGCCAGAAATTATTTTAGAACTTATTTCGTATGATGCCTATGTAGCCGAAATACAAAAATCCGGAGAACATAAATTAGATTATTATGAACATTCCACATTTCGTTCAGTTACAGGAAAAGATTATAATTATTGGTTACCATTGTATATTAATGATGATCATTTTAGAAAAGGTCAAATTTATATTCAAAATGGTATTAGCATCATCCATAATGGTACAGCTCTTGGCAGTAAACGTTATGATTTTGAACCACGAATGGCATTAAAAGTGTTGACAACATTAATGAATAAATCAAGCGTTCAATTATTTAATGGACAAATGTTCGAATCAAAACATGCAATAGAAGCATACTGTCATTTTCTACGTTTATTGATGCATTTTATTGATATTTATCCACAATTAGGTATGTTGAACAAGTGGAGATTAAGCCTATTAAAAAATGTTTTTTTTTCTTCTATTTAGAGGATGAAATAAATAAAAATATTCAATATTTTACAAAACATGTAAATAATCGTAATAAAAAAGTAATACCTGATATTGGTGAATTTTTGATACAAATTGCCCTATCAACAAAATACAAATTTGATGAAATTAAAAACTATGTCTATGAAGAATATTTTGCTAGACAAATTTATTGGATTCAACGACATAGTAAGGAATTCTTAAATTTATCAGATATACAACCAGTAGATTTGTCGTGTATATTTAAATACACAAAAGTATCAAACCATCTATTGATGTTTAATTTGGATATTGCTGAAACATTCATATTTCCAGGTGTGAAACAACACTTAGATCGATCGTATGGTTATCCACCAAATATTGTTGTTGAAAAATTTCAACGACGTTTGAAAGGCATCAAAACAATTGATGAATATTGTGATTTTATTCATGCCATAAAACTAGATAATATAATCAAATCTCCACATGATATGTGTGATTTTATTAAACGTTCAGTTAAAATATCAAATACACAAGGTTATACGAACATATTGAGGGATGCTGAAAAACACGATCAACGATTTGATGATCGACAAAGAAATAATCAACAACAAAAAAGGTATCATAATGGATCGACCAAACGCTAAATTTGTGTGTGTTTAATGGTTTTATTTCAACACAATGTTGTTCCAGATTATAATCTTAAATAATGACAGGCACAAGAGTCCGATTCCACTTTTGCGCACTATCTTAGCCCAGGAGCGAGTTATCGATTAAAAGCATCTAACTAAAGCTAGTTTTTCTACTAATGAACGTGATGTCTGCTTGTAAAACTCACGAATTTTTCAGATTTTATAACGGTAGACTGTTTTCAGTTCAAGTAGAATTTGTTTGATAGTTTTCTCTTTCACATAGAGTACGCGATGAGGTCTACAACGTGGGGATACTCGATGAGGTCTACAAAGTGGACAAATCAAAATATCTTGATTCTCACATTCATTATGATCCCCGAAGATCTGACTTCTATACATTTGGAGTACAAAACATTTTTTCGAAAGTCTTTTTTATTCTACTGTCGTCGTTAAGCATATGTTTAAAAGTAAACGCTTCTTTTTACACATTTGTGTATTTTCTATTTTATTCTTCGCCTAACTATGGCACATGGAAGCTTTAAGACAGGATTCATCAGCCCATCGAGAAACTGCATAACATGCAAAAATTTGACATATGATTTTTTATTTGATTTCCAGATCCAGATTTGATTCCAGAAAAATATTGACTTTTTGAACTGCAGGAAAAAACAGTGAAATTTTAATGTTTGATAGCGTTTCGAAATTTCAAAACCGCGTTTTTCTTATTTTCCACCAAAAACTGAGTCTGGAAAGCTAATTCCGGTAACTT